TAGCTGTTTACCTATGTAAGCTCAGTATGTGTGAGCTTCCTGTGTATACTCCATATGCGATTCCTATCTGTAATAATTCTTCCAATGTGGATATGTGTAATAATAGAACAATGTGCCCCAGCTTCAAAGAAGACAATGTCTTGTTTGTACTTTATGTTTCACTATGCTACTTCATTAAATACTTCTGCTTTGAATGCATTTCATCCTCCTCCTGAGTGGAAAAAGAAATATATACATGGGAACTCATAAGCTATGATTGTGAGTGGATATGGACCCACAGAGTACCTCAAAGCAATATAGCTTTGCTGGAGTATTAAGAGTGAGGGAGTGTCCCAGGTACACAGTGAGAAGTAGATAATGTCATTACCAAAGGGAAAGTGGTAGGTGACCCCAGTCCCTGGGGCTAAACTGGAATTTATGTCAGTCTCCTCCTTCTTTTCTCCCCTGTCATTTCTCACTGGCATTGAGCCAAACAAGTTTGTGAACAGATAAGAGGTAACTCTGTGGCACTGTGCCTTCGCTGCTGGCACAAAGATAGAGGGCAGAATCCCCCTGTTCCAAGGAACTGATATTGAGGTTGAAGTAGAAATTTTCATACTGTTTAGCTGTGAATCGCTCAGAGATTTTTCCTTTCTCAATCAATTGCTTAAAATTGAAGTAAAAGAGCATGTCAAGGCCCTGACCTTGTATCTGACGGTACCACAATGCATCTGGATGTCCGGAGATGGGGTCACATCCCAGGGTCACTGACTGTCCTGTCCTGGTTATCAGGTAACTTGGATGTTGAGTGACTCTAGTATCCATTTGACCACCTATGGGTAAGAAGAAGAAAGAAACTGCATAACAGATCCAAGGAGAATTTCTATTGAAGCCCTACGAAAAATGCTTAGAGGCAGAACCTAAAAAAGGCAAAATCCCAGCTGGGACCAGTATTCACCTGCTATTAAGAAACAAATCATCATATTAAAGAAAACCTTGTTATGCATAGTTGGGTCAGGGCTAGAAGAAGGGTCCCCTTGGGTGTCTGTGGAGAGAGAGGTTCCTCTCCTAAGCGGATGGAATGTGACTGTGATACCCTGTTCCTCATCACCTCCCCATCACCACCAGTGGTCTGAGATCCTGCTCTAACATGGTATGGTGCAGGCTCAGCCCTGTCACCACCTCCTCCTCATCTTCATGTCACTAGTGATGTCCTACTCAGTGGGTGGGGCTAGCCTTAGATAGCAGGCAGGGAGCATGCTGAATGTGGGGAGGAGTGATCACCCTTCTGCTAAGCCTTCTATGATATCTATCTGAGATTGTCGTTCCTTCTGCCAACTGATTACTTTTTTAAAAACCAATTACAAGCTCCTTAATCCTTTGATACAGAGCTGTGCATCATGGCTGGCTTCTAGGACACAAAGCCTGCTTTCCAGACATACATGTGGGGTGGATGCAACAATAACATCTTTATGCAACAATAACATTCTCTATGGTCTTCCCAGAAACATCAGAACTTAAAGGAACCATAGCTCTTCCGAGTAGTCAAAAGTAGTAGAATCACTAGGATTTGTCCTTGCTCCTTAGGGGAGCTGTGTTGGAGGGGAGCTGTGGCCGAGGAAAGGAAGAGTAGGGAGCTGAAGAGATGGTCTCAGAGATTTAGTCTGCTTCTCCTTCCTACTAGTCAGCCCTTTTTAAAGCCAAATTTGAAGTTCAACTGTTCCTACTCCTGAAAATTCCGTTTACTCATACTTCTATACTTCAGGATTGACTATCTATCTATCTATCTATCTATCTATCTATCTATCTATCTATCTATCTATCTACCTGTCTGTCTGTCTGTCTATCTGTCTGTCTATCTAGGTATTTATATGTATATGTCTGTATGTATATACATAAAGAGAGATATGTGTGTATATAATAGCTAACATTTATATAGCACTTACTATGTGGTCAGCACATGCTGAGCCCTTTAAAATGATTGTCCTATTTGATCTTCATAACAACTCTGGGAAGTAGGTGCTATTAGTTTCCCCAACTTTACAGATGAAACCAATAGGGGTGAAATGACTTGCCCATAGTCACATAGCTAGCAAATTTCCGAGGCCAGATTTCCACTCATGTCTTCCTGATTCCTTACCTGGAGTTCTATCCACTGTGTCACCTAAATGTTTATGTGTATGTGAGCTCAGTCTAAGTGAGCTGCCTATATACACCCCATATATAATTAAAATTCCTCTGCATAGTCATTCTTCCAATGTGGATGCATGTAATTATGGGACAATGTGCCCCAACTTCAGAGACAATGTTCTATTGCAACTTTGTGTTTTACGGTACTCTTTCATTAAATGCTTCTGCTTTGAATTAATTGCATCTTCCCCCTGAATAGAAAAGCAAATATACCCGTGGAGACTTGTGAGCTATGGTTTTGAGTGGATAAGGACAAAAAGAGTACCTCCTTGAAGCAACATAGCTTTTCTAGGTGTTATGTGAGAGGGAGTGGCCCAGGTATCACAGTGAGAAATAACTAAAATCAGCACAAGAGGGAAAACGTTAGACCTTGGTGCTGAGCCAGAATTGATGTCAGCCTCCTGCTTCCTATGTCCCCTCTCATTGTTACCTGGTCTTTGACCAAACACGTTTGTGAACAGATGAGAGGTGCCTCTTGGCACTATGTCTATGCTACTGGTACAGAGATAGAGGACAGAATCCCCCTGCTGCAAGGAACTGATATTGAGGTAGAAATGGAAGTATTCATGTTGTTTAATCATAAATGGCTCAGAGATTTTTCCTTTCTCATTCCTTTGCTTAAAATTTAAGGAAAATAACAATTCAAGGCCCTCATCTTGTATATGACAATACCACAATGCCCCACTATGTCCAGAAATGTAGTAACATCTCAGGATCACTGACTATCCTATCCTTGAGACCAGGTAACTTGAGTGTTGTATGATTCTAGTATCTGGTTGACCGCCTGACAGGTAAGAAGAAGAAAGAATCTGGAGAACAGATCCAAGGAGAAGGGTTTCCCAAGGGAAATATTTAGAGCAGGCCTGCACAACATATGACCCAAAGGCCACTTGCAGCCCTCCAAAGGATTTCAGGCAGCCCATGAAAAATGTAGAGAATGTAAAAAGAAAGTGAAGATATAACAAATGCTTTGTTTGTGCCTTGATTAGCCCGCCTTACAGTAGTCACTTTTATGCCTGTCATGTAGCTTGGTGGGTGGTTTGCCACTGAGCACTCTCTCTTGTTTGTCACATTACCAGAAGCAACAAACCATTGTCAGGCTGTCTGTAATCTGAGAGGAGCAAAAGTCCTATCTTTCTGCTGTGTTTTCTGTCTTTACTTGTGTTGAACTGTGACAAAGGGACTGCAGCCATGTGCCAACGCAGCTGACACCAGGAAGGAAGAAAGGAAAGAAGGAAGGAAGGAAGGAAGGAAGGAAGGAAGGAAGGAAGGAAGGAAGGAAGGAAGGAAGGAAGGAAGAAAAATATAAGGTAAGGAAAGAGGAAGGAAGGGAGGAAAGAAGGAAGAAACAAAGTCAATTATAAGCCCTATACTCCTTCAATACACAACTGTTCATCAGGCTGGTGTCCAGGGTACAAGGTCTCCTTTCCAGAACCAGTTAAACATGGGTGGTGGACATAACAATCACATCTGTATTTGACCATTATCTGTGTTCTTCCCAGAACCATCAGAATTGGAATATAAGCATAGCTCCTACTAGTGGCCCAAGGTGGTAGGATCACCAGGTCTTGTCCTTTTGCATCTAGGGAAGCTGAGTAGGAAGGATAGCCATGACCTTAGGCGAAGAAAGAATAGGGGCTGAAAAGACAGTCTCAGAGATTCAACCAGCACTACCTTCATTTCCTATCAAGCAGAACTCATTAAAGCCACATTTGAACTTCAACCTTCCCCACTCAAGAAAATTCCTCTTACCTGCTCTTATATACTTCAAAACTGCTTTATATAAGAAGAAAAAAAAAATAACTGCAATCATAACAACAATATTGACAGGTAACAACTATATCAAACTTACTCTTCACCAGGCACTGTGCTAAGTGCTTTACCAACACCTAATTTGATCCTCACAACAACCCCCAGAGGTAGGTGCTATTATCATCTTCACTTTGAAGATGGGGAAACTGAGGGGCTGCTAGGTTGCACAGTGGATAGAACTGTGGTCCTGGAGTCAGGAGGACTGAGTTCAAATCCAGCCTCACACACTTAACACTTACTAGCTGGACCCTGGATAAGTCACTTAACCATGATTGCCCTACCAAAAAAAAAAAGACGGGGAAACTGAGGTAACAGGTAAAGTGATTTTGCCACAATATCATACCTAACAAGTGTCTGGGCCTAAATTTTACCTCATGTCTTCCTGATTCCATACTTGGTGCTTCTTCCATTCCATCATCTGTCATAGCTTCCCAAAGTAGGTGATAACACCCTTGGGTGACACTGGAAAGGTCTATGGGGATGGTAGTAGTGTAAAATGAAGCATATTAAAAAAAACACCAAAGGGTAAAGAAAGTAGATTTCTAGGAGTTGGGGGGGTGCGCAATAATTATTTTTTAAAAGGGGGAAGTAGGTCAAATGAGTTTGGGAACCTCCGAATCCTTAGGGATATAGGAGAACTGCTTGTATAACCTGCTATGTGATTGCTATGTGTGTCATTCTTCAATCACTGATGCACACACATGTGAGACTATGGCACAGCTTCAGAGGAGACAGTGTCCTGTTACTACTTTGTGTTTGACAATCACATTTAATTAAATGTTTCTGCTTTGGATTCACTGCATCCTCTCCCTGACTAGAAAAACCAAATATGTCCATGAAGGCACATGAGCTATAGCTTTGAATGGCTGGGCACCCACAAAATGCAGGAACCAACATCACTTTGCTGGGTACTAAATGAAAGGGAGTGGCCCAGCTACTTCAATGAGCAGTAGCTGATGTCAGCACTGGAGGGAACAAGATAGATGACCCCAGTATATGGTGCTGAGCTGGAACTGATGTCAGCCTCCTGCTTCCTGCCTCCCCTTTGGCTTGGGCCAAACAGGTTTGTGAACAGATGGGAGGTGCCTTTGTGGCACTGTGTCTTTGCTGCTGGCACAGAGATAGACAGCAGAATCCTCCTGCTCCAAGGAACCAATGGTGAGGGTGAGGTGGAAATTGTTCTCCTGTTTAGCTTTGAATCGACTAGAGATTTTTCCTTCTTCTGGGTTTCCCTTATTATAGAAGGAAAAGAGCATCTCAGGGACTTCACCCAGTATCTGACGGTACCAGAATGCCCCAAGATGTCCAGAGATGGGGTCACATCCCAAGGTCACAGACTGTCCTGTCATTGACACCAGGCAGCTTGGATGTTGAATGACCCTGTCATCCAGTTGACCACCTGTGAGGTAAGAAGAAGAAGGTAACAGATTGAAGGAAGAGAGTATCTGTTGATGCACCCAAAGGAAATATTTAGAGGTCGAATCTCAAGATAATTTTTTCACTGGAACAAATATTCACCTGCCATTAAGAGATAAAATATCAAAGAGAAGAAGAACTTAGAATGCATTGTAGAGTCAGGTCTGCAAGAGGACATTTCCCCCTCAGCAGTCTGCAGTGAGAGAGGGTCCTCTTTTGAACAGCTGGAATATACCTGGGATATCACCTTTCCTGACCACACCCCTCCCTCAGTTTGAGAAGTTGCTCTGACTCGGCTGCCTCTTCCCCATCTGCATGTCACTAATGACATCCTACCCGGTGGGTGGGGCTGGATTGGTTGGTGAACAGGGAGTGTGTATGAGTGTGGTCAGGAGTGATTCCCCCGATATTCTAAGACTCAAATGATATTTATCTGAGACAGTTGTTCCCTTTGCCAACTGAATTTATTTGAAAAAGCCAATGACAAGCTCCCTACTCCTTCAGTACACAGCTGTGCATCAAAGATTGGCTTCCAGGATACAAAGTCTCCTTTCTAGAACTAGCTAAACATGATGGTGGATACAACAGTCATGCCTTTTTTTGAAGATTCTCTAAGTTCTTGGAATGGGCAGACAAGAACCCTTAATTCCAATGGCCATGAAAGCAGCTGAAGCAGGTGCTGCGGATCACTTAGAGCTTGTTCAGACATCCCAGACACATGCCAAGGTCATCCACTGCATCCAGGGCTAAGCCTGGTTGTCTTGACTTTCCTCTTATCACTGGACTTTGATGACTCTGAAAGAGAAAATCAGGCTGACCACCATGCACAACTCCACCTTACCTTAATCAGATTCACTGACAAGTCAAGACATTGCCCTTGTGATGTCATTGGTGCTCCTCAAAAAGCACAAACAGCTACAACAAATGACTCCCCAGAATAATCTGAATTTTAAGAGAACCATAGCTCCTCCCAGTGGCCAAAGATGGTTGACTCGCTAGAATTTGCCATTGTTCCTTAGAGGACCTAGGTCAGAGGGTAACTGCAGCTTTAAGAGAAGAGTAGGAGGCTAAAGAGATGGTCTCAGGGATTCAATCAACTCCTCCTTGTATTTCTACAAGGCAGTACTCCTTAAAACCAAATTTGAACTCTTCCTACTCCTGAGAATTCCTTTCACTTGTACTTCTAGGATTCAGGATATATGGGCTTGTCTGCTGGAGTGTATGATAGCTAACATTTTATTGTGCTTCCTTTGTGGCTGCACCAGTGCTAAGTGCTTGAAAATTCTTATCTCACTTGATCCTCACAACTACTCGAGGATGTAGGTACTATTGTTATCCCCATTTTACAGGTGAAACAGCAATGAAGTGACTTACCCACAGTCACATAAGTAGAAAATTTCTGAGGCCAAGTTTCCACTCATGTCTTCATGATTCCTTACCTGCTGTTCTATCCACTATGTCACCTGGATGCTTATGCATATGTGAGCTCAGTAAGTGTGAAGTGCCTGTGTGCAGCCCACATATAGTTTCCATGTGTCATCATTCTTCCAACGTTGATGCCTGTATTTCTGGGAAGTCGTGTCCTAGCTTCAAAAGAGACAATGCATTGTCGCAACCTTGATTTTTAGTACACTGTTTCATTAAATAGTTTTACTTTGATTTAATGACATCCTCTCACTGGGAACTGCAAAGAAACCTGTGGGGACTTGCAAGATGTTGTTTCAATTGGATGCGGACCCCCAGGGTTCTTGAAGTAGCATAATTTAACTGGGGTTTGATGTGAAAGGGAGAGTCCCAGGTACTACAGTAAGAAGGAGCTTAAGTCAGCACTAAAGGGAAAACCTTAAGGGGCCCTAGTCCCTGGTGCTGATCTAAACTTGATGTCATGAATTGCTCAGAGATTTTTCCTTTCTCACTCAATTGCTTAAAAGAGAAGAAAAAGAATATCTCAGGGCCGGGATCTTGTATCCGATGATACCACAACGTCCTATTCTGTCCAAAGATGTTGTTACATCCTGGATCACTGACTGTCCATTCCTTGAGATCAGGTGACTTTGGCCAGTTACCTGGGGGTTAAGAAGGAAAAGGAGTATCTAGGAATAACCAAAAGGAATGCACCAAACAGATCCAGGAGGAGAGCTTTTACTGAAGCCCCAAGAGAAATACTTAGAGGTAAAACCTCAAAAGGCAATTTCACAATTGGGACCAGTATTCACCTGTTAATAAGCAACAGATCATAATACATAAGAAAAACCTAGAATGCGTAGTATAGTCAGGGCTGGAAAAGGCATTTCCCCACTCAGGAGTCTGTAATGAGAAAGGTTCCTTTCCCAAACAGGAGGAATATGCCTGTGATATTACCATTCAAGCTGATAACCCCACCTCCCACATCTATCTTGCCCTGACATGATGCAGGCTCAGGCCTGTCCCTGAGTATGTGTTAGGGTAGGGAGGACTGATCCCCTTCTGAGAAGCCTTAAAAGATATTTATCTGAGACAGTTGTTCACTCTGCCAAAAGAATACTTTTTGAAAAGCCAATTAAGGGGCAGCTAGGTGGGGCAGTGGATAAAGCACTGGCCCTGAAGTCAGGAGGACCTGAGTTCAAATCCTGCCTCAGACCAAACACTTGACACTTACGGGATGTGTTACCCTGGGCAGGTTACTTAACCCCAATTGCCTAAAAAAAAAATAAGCCAATTACAAGCTCCCTACTCCTTCAATACATAGCTGTGCAGTACAGCTGGTTTTTGAAACACAAGGTTGTCTTCCCAGAACCAGCTAAACGGGAGAGATTGATACAGCAATCATGTCTTTATTTGAAGATTTTCTGTTTTTTCCCCCAAACCATCTAAATTTGAGTGGAGCTAAGGCTTTACCTAGTGGCCATAAGATGGTAGGACTTCTTCTTGCTCCTTAGCGGAGCTGGGTCAGAAGCTAGTTGTGGCCTTAGGAGAAGGAAGAATAAGGTGCTGAAGAGATGGTCTCAGGCATTCACTCAGTGCCTCCTTTATTTCCTACTAGTCAGCACTACCTAAAACCATATTTGAAATTCAGCTTTCTACTCCTGCAAATTCCCTTTACCTTTACTTCTACGCTTCAGGATGTAAATAGATAATGATATATGGATAGATACATAGACAGATAGATAGAGAGATAGAGAGATAGAAAGATAGAGAGATAGATAGATGAGAGAGAGAGAGAGAGAGAGAGAGAGAGAGAGAGAATAATAAATGGATACAAATTAAAAATTACTTAAGTAGAAAAGAATATAAAGAGCACCTCAAGCCCCTGACCCTGTATCTGGCGGTACCACAATGTGAGGAAGTGTCCAGAGATGGAGTCACATACCAGGATCACACACTGTACTATCCTTGACACCACATAACTTGGGTGTTGATGGATTCTGGTGTCTAACTGACTACCTATGGGGCAAGAAGAAGAAAGAAGCTGAGCAACAGATACAAGGAGGAAGGTTTTTGTTGAAGCCACAAGGGAAATGTTTAGAAGTAGAACTTCAAGAGTCAGTTCCCCAACTATGACCAGCATTCAGCTACTACTAAGAGATACATTATCATAAGGAGGAAAAAAACACCTGGTATACATGGTAGGGTAAGGTCTGGAATGGGTATTTCCCCCTTCAGGAGTATGCAGTGAGAGAGGTTCCTCTCCCAATCAAATTGAATGCACCTGTGACATCACTGCTCCTGATCCATCTCCCCAGTCTGACAGCCTGCTCTAACATGGTGCAGGCTCAGCCCTGTCACCACCTCCTCCTCCTCTCCATGTCTGTAATGAATTCCTATCCACAGGTGGGGATGGTCCTAAATGACAGGCAGGGAATGTATGTATGTATGTATAAAAAAGGGGTGATATTCCTTCTCCTAAACCTTTGTTCAGTCATTTCAGTCACATCAGACTCTTTGTGACCCCATTTGGGGTTATGGTTCCAAAGATACTGAAGTAGTTAGCCCTTTTCTTCTCTAGTACTAAAATGATATTCATCTGCAACAGTAAGTACAGCTAGGTGGTACAATGGATAGAGCACCGGGCTTGAAATCAGGGAGGCAAATCTTTCTGAATGCAAACACAGCTTCAGACACATACTATGTCTGTGGCCCTGGGCAAGTACCTTAATCCTGTTTGCCTTAGTTCCTCATCCATAAAATGAGCTGGTGAAGGAAATGCCAAAACCCTCCGCAGTATCTTTGCCAAGAAAACCCAAAATGGAGTGATGAAGAGTTGGACATGACTGAAACTATTGAACAACAACAACAAAACTGGAAACAGTTCTTCCCTTTACCAGCAGATTTTTTAAATCCATTTACACTCTGTACTGCTTTAATACAAAGCTGGGCATCAGGGCTGGCTTCCAAGACACAAGGCTTCTTTTCCAGAACTAGCTTAACATGAGTAGTGGATACAGCAACCACATCTTCATTTAAAGATTCTCTATGTTCTTCCCCAGACCATCAGAACATGAGTGGGACCATAATTCTTCCTAGTCCCCAAAAGTTGTAGAAGAACTTGTCCTTCCTCCTTAGGGCAGTTAGGTGAAAGGATCACTGTGGCCTTTGGAGAAGGAAGGGTAGGAGGCTACAGAGATAGTCTCAGGGATTCCATCAGTTCCCACTTCATTCCCTGCTACCAACCACACCTTAAAAACAATTTTGAATTTCAACTGTGGCAACTCATGAAAATTCCCATTTCCTATTCATCTATGTTTCAGGATCCCCTTATATGGTAATAAATAATAATCATAATAAAAAATAGCTAATGCTTCTGTAGCATTTAGCACATGTTCCAGGCACTGTGCTAAGCTCTTCACAATTATTATCTCATTCTATCCACACAACAACCCTGGGAGGCAGGGCCTCATCTTAAAGATGAGTAACTCAGGCAAATGGGTGAAGTGACCCAAGTAGAGTCACATAATTCAAAAGTGTCTGAGCCTCGATCTGAATTCATGTCCTCCTGACACCATACCAGCTTCTCTATCCACTTATCTTCTAGGTCAGGGGGTGGGGAACCTGCAGCCTTAAGGCCACATGTGGCCTTCTGGGTCCTCAAGTGTGACCCTTTGACTGAATACCAACTGAACTGAGCTAGACACTTATGATGATGTGGGCTGAGTGTATGTGAAAAGCCTGTGTAACCTATATATATAAAACTGCTATGTGCAGTCATTCTTCCATTGCTGATGCATCTACTTATGAGAAAATATGCCTGAACTTCAAAAGGAAATATCCTGTTACTCCTTTCTCTTTTAGTATGCTGTTTAATGAAAGGTTTTCCTTTAAAGCCAAATTTCAACTTCAATCCTTCTTACTTTTGAAAATACCTGTTGCCAATACT